TGTGACAGAGGCTGTGATAGAGGCTGGGACAGAGGCTGTGATAGAGGCTGTGATAGAGGCTGGGACAAGGGCTGTGACAGAAACTCTGACAGGGATTGTAACAGGAATTGTGACAGGAGCTGTGACAGAGGCTGTGATAGAGGCTGGGACAGAAACTCTGACAGGGACAGGGACAGGCACTGCGATGGGGACTGGGACAGAAATGTGACTAAATCTGGAACCACAATCAGAGTTGGGACAACAGTTCCTGGAGCCCGGGCCCACACTCCCACGGTCGACAGAGCAGTTGGCGGTGACAGCAGCAACACAGCAAACACAGAGGCCCAGCCAGGCCCAGGCATTTGTGGGGACGCCAGCAGGCTGAAGCTGCCACAGGAAGACAGCGAGAGGGAGGTGAGTGAGGCTGGCGCCCACCCAGCTCCACCACGGGTGTCTGTGTGTCCGCGGGTAGGTTCCTGGCCCTCTGTGGGCCTCAGTTTCCTTGATAGTGCTTACCCTGGGGACAGATCAGATTAGAGTGTGGTAAGTGCAAACGTGGACTAACTAGGGGCCCAAGTTACTCTCAGGGGTCTCTGAATCTCCAGAGTCTCCCCAGGCACAGCCACAGCCGACTGATTGAATCCATAATGCGCCTCCCACACGTATGAACAACCATCTCCCCCATGTGTGCAGTGCTCTTGTGAAGAAAGAAACACACATTTTTTTTAAATGTAAGAGAATTCATAGTCATGATGGTAACTAACATTTATGGAGCACTTGCTCTGTGCAAGCTACCACACCAAATGCTTAGCATGGATTAGCTCATGTAATGCTCGCTAGAGCTCTGTCAGGTAAGTGGTATTTTCCCCATTTTACAGATGATTAAACTGAGGCTTAAAGAGGCTGACCAAGTTGCCCAAGTTCCCAAGGCTAGAGGAAGAGCCAGGGTTTGAACATGCTTCTGTCTGACCCAGTCTGGGCTCCTATCCTCACTCACCATGAGCAACTCTCTTAATCACAATTGCTATTGTGTCAGATACATTTGAAGTTCAAAGTCAACAATGTTTTCACTGAAAAAGGGGTCTTCACACTTGAATTGGCTGGGACCTACAGGGAAGCGTTCCTTCAGTCCATGGGCACTTCTGGCATTTCTGGAATTGTATTTTTTCTCTGCCCCTGCCGGAGGCACTAAGTTGGGGATAAGCAGGATATGATTTTCTGCCCTAAGAGAGCACAGAATAACTGTAATGATTTCAAGGACTGTGGTTGTTTTTGTACCTTGTGGTCAGGATCTCACTTTGAGCTGTGCAGAGAAGACCCCCATCCCCTGCTGTCCTTGAAGGATGGATCCTCATTCTCCCAGATGCTCCTTGGTCAGGAAGTAAGGTGGGACTCCCTGTGGCTCCTCCCAGACCATCACTCTTCTACCTTCCCATAGAACTCCTCACCCAGCCAGGGAGTGTCTCATGCCTGTAATTCCAGCACTTTGGGAAGCCAAGGCAGGCAGATCACCTGAGGTCAGGAGTTCAAGACCAGCCTGGCCAACATGGTGAAACCTTGTCTCTACTAAAAATACAGAAATTAGCTGGGCACAGTGGTGGGCACCTGTAGTCCCAGCTACTCAGGAGGCTGAGGCAGGAAAATCGCTTGAACCTGGGAGGCGGAGGTTGCAATGAGCCACTGCACTCCAGCCACTGCACTCCAGCCTGGGGGACAGAGTGAGACTCAGTCTCAAAAACAAACAAACAAAAATCCCTCTTCACCCACCTGCTCCTCTGAGGCTCCCACAGCTGGTCCCCTCATGGCTGTCACCCAGGCATCTTTCCCACTGAATTTCTGCCTTCACGGAGGGGGCTCCGCGTGAACCTCGGCCTTAGCTTCTGATTTCAGTGGCCTTCATCTCACCTCCAGCCACCCACTCCCACGGCCTCAATCTAGAGATTCTCTACCTCTACAATCTAAAATTCAGACTGATCTCAGCCTCTGCTCCTTCCACCTGCTCTCTGGGCCCTCCCTTTACACCTGCTCATCAAGGGCAGTGAGAGCTGGAAAAGAACTCTCAGCACATAATGACTCCATCTGAACCCTTGCACCCAGAGACTTAAATAAACACTAGCATAGTTTCTAACAGCTCAAAGCAGCATCACTAGATGATGACTCCAGCCCCTTAAAGTCCCTGCCTGGGAAAGCTCAAGGTGGCCAAAGAATTTATTGTTTGTTCCAGTCGAGGGCCCCTGTCTTCCAGGCTCTGTGGGAAGGCACTTAACTTTGATAAGTGCCAGTCACCAAATCTAGCTTGCCTGGTCATATAGAGCAAACCCCTGTTTTTGTCCTTCAGTGCCTATTGCCTGGCCCACCCCACTTTAAAAAAAGTCTCTTCCCCTTTGTTTTGAAGAAGTTGAGTTCAGTTCATGCAGAACCCTTTTCCCTTTTGCAATAGTTATCATTGAATAAAATCTGTCCTTACCATTTTAACTAGTGTCTCGGTTTGTTTACCTCTGACAATAGCAAGTTCTGTGCATCCACCCCTTCTGCCTTCAGTCCCTTCCCTTCCCAGTTTAGATCCCAATATCTACCACCACAACCTTATCTTGCCAGTGTCCTCAATTTCCTTGCCTCGTGGTTCTTTTTGTCTGTCAACCTAGAAACTCTAGCTCTGACCTTCTCTGCAGGCACACCAGCTACAGCAAGCCTGAGAGGCAGCCAGAGAAAATCACATAGCCGCACAGATTTGTTCACTGTCTCTGATGTGCCTCTGTGCCTGGCAATCTGACTGTTTTCCTTATCTGCCATGTCTTCATTCTGTTCCATCAGTGTCTGAGTCTGCACAGTGTTGCTATGACAGAATACCACTGACTGGGTAAATTATAAAGAAAAGAAATTTAGTTGGCTCATGGTTCTGGAGGCTGGGAAGTCCAAGAGCATGGCACTAGCATCTGGTAAGGGTCATCCTGTGATGGAGGGATGGAGGGCAAAGGCAAGCATGTGAAATAGAGAGGAAGGGGACCAGACATATCAGGAGCCCATTCCGGCAATAATGGCATTAATCCATTCGTGAGGGAGTAGCTCCTATGACCTAATCACCTCTTAAAGGTTCCACCTCTTAATACAATGGCAATTAAGTTTCCAACACACAAACTTTAGGGGGACACATTCAAACAATAGCAACCAATTAACACTTCTCCCCAGATCTCAGCCTCCTGATCAAATCTTTGCTATCCAAAAAAAAAAAAAAAAGTGTCCTCCTTGAACTTCACTGTCCCTTTCTCTCCTTCCCATCACATCTAAACCTCTCAGGAGGGTGAGCTTCCTTTGCCTTCCTTTCTCAACTCCCACTCATTCATCAGCCCATGCAGTCAGGCTTCGCTACCCATGGTGTCTTCAGCAAGACCACAAATGTCCTCCTGAGTACGAAGTCCACATTTTATTCCTTTCCTTATTGTCCTTGGAGCACCATGCCATGCTGCTGACCACCTCTCCCTTCTTGAAACACCCCCTTGCCTTACTTCAGGGACACACACACTTCTGATTTTCTTTCTACGTCTCTGGCCGGTCCTCGGGATCCTTTGTGTCCCATCCTCCTCTACTGGCTCCTCACATGTGGGTGATATCCCTGGATTCTATTGTATGCTCTTCTTTTTTTCCCCCCACAGGATCTCTCTCCCTGAACACCAGGTCCTTGGCTTCAGTTACCATTCATGCCCTCAGCCCAGACCTCTCCTGTGGGCTCCAGACCTGCTTATTTGGCTTCTTGGATGTCTTACAAGCAGCACACACTGCAAATGTCTAAACATTCACACTCTTCTCCAAAGACCCCTGCTCTTCCTGCTCAATGAATGAGACCACCATCATCCCGTGGCTGAAGCCAGAAACACTGGCATTATTCCTGACTCCTTCCTCTGCCCCAACATCCCATCAATTCAGAAGTCTTATTTCTCCTTCATAAATATCTCTCAAATATGTCCACTTCTTACCATATGCACTGACACAACTTCAGAAGATATCTTGCCTAGGCTGTGGCAACAGCCTCCTAACTGGTCTCCCTGCCTCCAGCCTTGCTCTACTATAACCCATTATCCATAATGCTGCCAGAGTGGTTTTTCAAATGTAAATCTAGACACATCTGCTTAAAACTCCTAATAAATATCACTGGCCTTAGGATAAAATCCAAACTCTACTGGCAAATAAGCTGCTCGATGGTCTGGCTGCTGTTGCTCCCTCAGCCCTCCCTCTAACCAGTGCCCTCCTGACTGTTGCATTGTGTACTCATGCATGTCCATGGGCTTTCTGCTGGTGGTAATGATGGCGATGTCATTCATGGCTGTGGAAGCGATCAGATGTTAGTTGTTGGAGGTTATGATGGTAACTTTAAACCACTGCCCATCACATTTTCAAGGCGATCTTTGGAGGCTGGTGTCCTCCAACAAATATTCCCTGCTCCTATTTCCTGCAAGGTTAATTATTCATGCCCATCTCAGACCCACCTCCACCCAGGTTGTTTCAGGGCCCTCTGTTTGGGGCCCTGGCGAGCTCCCACACTGACTCTTGGTTATCAGCTTGAACCTATGTCCAGCGTTCATCTCTTTCTGGCCTTGAGTTGAGCCCAGCATGTTGGTGATGGGACAGTGATGGTGATAAACATGAGGATCCTGCTGTAGCACTCATTGGGGAGACAGACGAAGTTGCCTGGGGACCCTAGGAGAGGAGCCACTGGGAGGTCCAGCCAGGTGGTGCTGGTTCCAAGTCCTGCTGAGTTCAGCAGTGATCAACTTATGGGGCTGTTTGGCTCTGAAATGCTGACCTGTCACCAACTTTCTCTGTACACCCAGGGCTGATGGTCGACCCCCAACACAGGGCACTTGGTGGCCAGGCTGGAGCCCTGACACTTCTGATATAGACAACATCCCTCCCCAATACCAGCATTTATTTGCTCCTATGAATATACATGGAGGCTGCTTTCCTGAACTGGGGAAGGTAGCTGGGAGCTGGGAAGACTGGAGATAAGCTGTCTGGGGGGTGATCACAATGCACTGATCTGCCCCTGTGGTAGGCAGCATGATGGGCCCCAAAGATAACCAGGTCCTTATTCCTGGAACCTATGAATGTTACTTTGCCTGACAAAAAAATATATAAAAGTTTGCCAAGGTGATTAAGGACCTGAGATGGGAAGATTATCCTGGATTATCTGGGTAGGCCCTAAATGCAATCACTGGTGTCCTTATAAGAGGGAGACACAGGGAGGTTTGACCTAGAACAAGAAGACAAAGTGCCCACGAAAGCATGATGCTACACTGAGGACTTTGAAGATGGAGGAAGGGGCCATGAGCCAAGGAATGCAAAGGAACACATCTAGAAGTGGGAAGATGCAAGGAAATGGTTCTGTGCTGGAGCCTCTGGAGGGAGCGTGGCCCTGCCAACACCTTGATTTTGGCCCAGTGAAACTGATTTCAGGCTTCTGACCTCCAGAACTATAAGATAATAAATGTGTGTTCTTTTATGCCACCAAGTTTGTGGCACTTTGTTACAGCAGCAATAGGAAACTAATACAGTCCCCTTCCACCCTCCCTCTCTGGTGTCACTTCTCACTTCCTCTTGAGTCAGGTTAAGCTGTGGGTAAGCAGTGTAGCTGGACGCTGAGTGGTAGAGAAGAAAGACAGTCCTCCTCACCTCTCCTTGGGGCCTGCCACCCTCTGGTTCCAGTGAATGGTGGCTTTGGAAACATTGGAAGGTGACACCTCCTCAGAGCACTAGTCACCCATGGGTCACTGTCAGAGTGACATGCTCAGGCTACTTCTAGTGGCTTTGCTGACAGTAGGCGTTGAGCTGGGGCAGAGAGGAAGGATTCTAGAGAAGCCATATGGGGATCGTGGCTGACAGAGCGATGCTTGAGCATATGTGTGCTCCCTTTTTTGGAACTCCCAGAAATACTTGTGGCAGAGGAGGAAGAGGGCAGAGGTCCTGTAAGCGCAAGAAGAGAAACAGCAGGAACTTTGAGTTATGGATGTTAATGGAGCTTTATTTATAGCCACAGACTGGGAGGGTCTGATAACATTTGTGTGATGTTGCTCCTCTAGCTGGCTACTCCCCTACTGCCTTTTCGCATAGGTGGCTGATTAAGCGAACAACGATGTCCAAATGCTTTCATCCCCTTTCCCTGTTTTCATTCAGTCTCCATCTTTATCTTATTGAGTTGAAGGAGCACTTTCTATACTGGGGAGAGTATTCCCTTCTCTATCACATATTGCTACAAATACCCATTTCCCCTAGTTTCTTATTTCTTTTAACTTTTGTTATGCAGTGTTTGCCATGCAGAAGTTTTCTTTTTTATAATAAAGTATAAAATTAAAAGTAAAAAAGTATTATTTATTTATTTATTTATTTTTGAGACGGAGTCTCGCCCTGTCGCCCAGGTTGGAGTGCGACAGAGTCTTGCTCTGTCGCTCAGGCTGGAGTGCAGTGGCGCCATCTCAGCTCCTGTCTCTTATACACATCTAGATGTGTATAAGAGACAGCTGCCCCCCTCGGCCTCCCAAAGTGCTGGAATTACAGGCGTAAGCCACTGCGCCCAGCTGTAAAAAAGTATTTTTACGGTCAAACAATGCCTTTTGATAGTAAAATATATTAACCTTTCCTTTTACCATCTCTGACTTAGATATCACACTTGAAGAGCTCTTCCCCATCTCAAGAAATACTCACTTAAATTTTCTTTCAATAAATAAATGTTTATATACATATATAATCCATCTTTCCCCCATTAATTAGCAATGTCTCCTTTCCTCACATACAAAATTTCTGTACATACACGGTTATATATTTCTGGATTCTATCTCTGTTGCATTGATTTGCTTCTCTATTCTTGTTCCTATACCACTCTGCCACCCCCCCCCCACCAAATTACTGTAACATACTATTATCTTTAAATAATAAGAGGAGTCTCTCTCCTGTATTATCTCAGTCAGAATTCTTTCCTGGGTTTCTTACCAGATTAACTATCTAGTTAAAATAATTTGATCATATTTTAAAAGATCATAGGCTGGGTAAGGTGGCTCATGCCTGTAATCTCAGCACTTTGGGAGGCTGAGGCAGGTGGATCACGAGGTCAAGAGATCAAGACCATCCTGGCCAGCGTGATTCCCAGAGTCTTTAGATTTGCCCTGAATTGAGGGTGAAGGCAGGGATGATGAGTGAAGCTGTGGGTGTGGGCAAAATTCAGAAGGAGATTAAATGCTAAACAAGAGGAAGTGAAGGTGGAAAACCATTGGCATATGTGGGGAAAGTGAATGCTGTGAATGTGGATAAGAGAAAGCACACAGAGGGGAGAGGTGAGACACCAGCAGACAGGTGTCAAATAAGCTGGAGGAGGAGGAAAGTTCAAGACCAGCATAGTCGATAGAATGCTGTGTTGCAGTGCAGTTGCGGAGAATGACTGCAATGGAGCTGTGGGTCGTGTTGGTCGTGGCTGATTAGGGATGAGGTGGTTATAACATTTAGTGTTTAAACTGGGACCGCTGGAGAAGACTCTGGGACAACAAGGGTAAAGCAGGATTCTTCGTGGAAAACTGAGACACATGGTAACCCCAGTTAGTGGTGACCTCTGAGAACACGGTCTCATTGGAGGGATGGGCAAGGTGCCTAGGTTATGTGGGCTGATGGTACACTGTGCTTTGTAGAAGTTTGGCCCAAAAGATAAGGAGAGAGTTGAGTGGTAGATGGAGGGCAATCAAGGTTGAAAGGGGCGGGTTTATTTGCTTGTCTGTTTTCTAGGCTTGAGAGATTTGTCCGTCTGGGGAAGGGTAACGACTTAGTAAAGAGGGAGAGATAGAAGATGTGAGATATAGAAGGCATAGTTAACAAAGAGAGAAGATACAGGAGGGCAGGGGCAAGATCAGCAGTGTATAGAGGACATGGGGTTAGCCTGGAAGAGGAGGACAGTTCCTGATAAGAGAGGAAATAAAAGAATGCATGGCAAACAGAGGAAAGTTGAGGTGCAGCAAAGGGAATTTGAGAGAACTAATAGTTTCTCAGGAATGGCTGCTGAGAAGGAGGTGGGCAATCTCTTTGGACCAAAGAGCCCCCAGAGGAAAGGAGTAGAAGCCTTTAACCCCTTTCATTCAGTAATTAACACGGCTTGATTCCTTCTAATGGATTGAGATGGATCTGAAAGAGAGCGATTGGTGGTGGGGACCTGGCCAGGGTCTAAGCTCAGTGCTAGGCCCAGGCTCTAAGCTGGTAAGGTTCTGGCTGGTGTGTCTGGGCTGGAAGCCTCTCCCATCCTAGGCACTTCGGCACATTGGGGTCTTCCTCCACTGAAGAAGGACCACAATCCCTGTAGAAATCTGGACCAGTGAGAGCATCACTGTCTCGGTGGGCAAGGATGCTCAGACTGCGTAGGGTCAGGTTCTACTGTGACACCTTGGGGTGGCAGCAGAAGCCACAGTGAGTCGGAGGCTCCAGCGCTCTCCTCACCTGGCTTTGGATGGACGAACCAGCCCTTCGGATTCAGGAAGTCCTCCAATTCAGGATGGAGGAAGGCCCCAAGAGAGACACTGGATTTCTTGTTACTTCAGACAGGCTCAAATGGTTAATATGAAATATTAGTCTAATTTATAACCCAATTTCAGTATAATAGAATGGTATGCAGCCATTCAAATATGTTGGAAAATAATGTTTGATTACATGAAAAAAAAAATTCAGGAATATTCATAGAATAACTAGTATGAACACAATAATCTGATTTTGGAAAAGAATATGTAATATATGTATATAGAGACAGATGTAAGACTGTAAGAATATATGCAAGTTAGCAGTGGTTTTTTCTGGGTGGTGGAATTGTGAGAATTATGAGTGATTTTTCTTTTTACTTACCTTTATTTTCTAAATTTTCTACAAGGTGCTTATATGGCTTTTTAGTAAGTTAAATAACAAAGTTATTTTTTAAAAGGATTGCCAAGTGGTAACAGGACCCCAGCTGAGCCAGGAGGGGGAATCTGCTGAGAAGCCAGTGCCTGAGCCCGGGTTACTCTCCCCAGCTGCACTCAGCAGGTATAGCTCATGACTGTGTAAACCGAAGGGAAAAACAACTTGGCCAAATTTAGCAAAATGCATCTAGCCCATTGGACACTTCCAGGGGGAGCTGCCCTACATTCCCCACCTGGGGCTCTGTAGACCACCCTTGAGCTGGCGACTTCAAACCAGATGGCACTGGTTACACTTTCCCCCATTTCTTGACTCTGCACGCAACTCTCCTGAGCCCATCTGTACCCAAGGCCAAATGGGAGAGATGAAGGTATAAACCAAACGTGACTGAGGTAGGTTTCCATCAAGTAGAAGTTTGTTTAGCCAAGGTTAAGGACAGGCCGTGGGGGTTGCAGGTGGGAGGTGGGAGGGAGGGTAGGGAAATTCAAGTCACAGGAGCATCTGTGACCCATGCTTTTCCCAAAGGGAGTTTTTTGGAACTTTCATATTTAAAGGGGAAAGAACAAACAGGAGGGAAAAAAGAGGGAGTGAGGGTAGGCCTTGAGGCAGATGATTACGTTCTTGTGAGGCTCTGATTCACCTCAGTAAATCTACATTTTATATGTGAAAGGGAGCAGAAGAAAAAGTCAATGATGCTTTATCCTGCGCTTTGTAAATCTGCATTTGACATAGAGAGAGTAAACATTTGAAAGGAGGGAGCAGAGGAAATGAGGCTCTGACGGGGTTGTGAAATCACAGCTGCCTGTTTGGGAACAAAAGGAAAGCAGTTTTTGTATGACTCAGTTCCCCAGCTTAACTTTCCCTTTGGCATAGAGAGTTCGGGGTCTCGAGATCTATTTTCTTTCACGAGGGGTTAGGAAGGCTGAAACAAGCAGGGGTTCTCAGAAGGAATGCACTGCGGTGGCTACAGCTGTGGTTCCAGTTATGTGCCTGTCATGTTCACCATGCTGCACAAAGCTGTGGCTGTTCCAACCCC